GGGGGTGCTGGGAGGAAGCAGGGGGAGTTTAGGATCATTTTTAAATACTGAGTATATATAATTGTTGAATAGGTAGGAAAAGTCTTTGAGGTAAGTTGAAACAGCTTTCCTGGGTAAACAGAAACAATGCAAATATATCTATCTCAATTTTTCCATCTCCTATTTTTCTTTACATTGATAAAAGCATTACAATCATTCAGAGATCCAAAATAGGAACTGCAGTATTTTCCTTGATTCTTGCAACTTTTTCTCTTTTATGCTTAATTATGGCAATCAACTAAAGTTTTTCAAACATCATTAGCAACTGTTGCTTTCTTTCTAACCCTACTGTCCCAGATCTAGTCAGAAAGACACTTTCTGGAGCTCTATCTCCTGAACAGACTCTTCTTCTAGACTTCTTCTTCTCAACTCAGTTCTAGCTGATACTAGTTGAAATGATTTTCCTCTTTCAAGATGCAAATGTGAAGAGGCTCCTCCTGACAGCTCATTACAGTCTTTAAGATCAGGCTCACACTCTGTACTGCCTTCCAGGCTCTCTGTCTCTCAGGCTGCATTGCCATCCAGCCCCTGAACTAGTCAGGCTGCCAACTCTGTTGAAATACTTGGTTTCTATTCTTTTCCCCTCGGGGTTTCTGCCATGAATTCTCTTTCCTTTCTTGTTCTTCTCTCTGTCTGCCTCCTTTGCCTAACTCCTCATTTATCTTAAGATATTAATATGGATTATAGCTTCCATTTTGACAATACTTTCCCAACTATACCTTTCCCAAGACTGAGTGTGTTGATCTGCTTTGCCACAAGAAAGCGTTCTACCCATTTAATGTGCCTATTTTCAAAATTTCCATACTTACACCATTTTTTCCCCTCAATTCACCATTCTCTGGACTTCTTGATGTCAGGGATTTTATAAACATGTTTATCAGAGATGCCCAAACAAAGTCTCAACCAACTGTAGCCTAGACAGAGTCTGAATCAATTACACATTGAGAAAGTCACTGCCTTTCTCAAAGAGCTGATGGTTCCTAGAAGCATACTAACCAGACTGAGCTCTTAACATGCCATTTTGGGCTCTTCTCCACAGACCAGAGCACATCTTTCCATTTTGTGACCAGGACCCTTCACCTCACTCCTGCGCTTTCTGTGTGGTGTACCCTGGACAGCTCTGTTGCTCTTCTGTTGCTGGCACACTTTGGCCAGTGGCCCTGTCTCTGAGACGCCATTCCTCTGCTTGTTTTGCTGGGCAGTTTTTCTAGCCCCCTCTCATCTCTACTCTGGTAGATCTAAGCATTCTGTCTTCTTGGCCATCACAGAATTTTCCACTTTACTTTGTCAATTTTAAAGCTGCATTTTTTTGTTAATGCACTGAGCTTCAGGAAATTGTATATTGTATGTGCTTTATTTTGGATATCATAGTGTCTGGGATCTAGTGGCACCTGATCATGAACTGTATCAGAATAATTAAAAGGAAGTTAAAGTTATTTTGACTACTCTTAACAAGAAAACAGGTAAGGGGAGGGGCTAACTTTGCAAATGCAAAAATGAAAATGTATGGGTTTATCCATCCTGGCATAATGCTATAGTGCAAGAATTTGGCTTCCTCCCAACCAACCTTCTCTTTTTAACAATGCCATTTAGAGTGCTCCTAAACTGTCTAATAGATAAAACTCTCCGACTTTCTCCCTAACCCTAACCCACCTTTGGCAAGAGAACTAAGAGTGTGAAGCAAAACCAAAATGAGCTGGAAATATGTCATGGATGACAACTTCCAAGGGCAATTTCCACAACAGAAACTCAGACTGCTTTGACTGGAGTGCCAGTCTGCCACTGTCCTGAACATCATTTATCTATCAATGCTTTGGTATTTTCATCTGCACAGTAAGAATCAGAGCGATCCATATGTCACACTTTTGAGTGCTGAAGGAACTGAAATCTTTGTAAAGCATGTAGACTACACTAAAGCACAGTACACAGAAAACAATTATTATGTGTTTGCTATTATTATCATTGTCTTAAGTGGTGATTATTTAATAATCGAGAGTCATACTCAGTTCCTAGAGTATAAAAATGGGCCTGAAGATAGAATGTGGCTTTAATATGACTTTTAAATATTACAAATGACTCAAGTAGTAATAATAAAGAGCAGCTAGGCAAATAAATATGCCATAAAAGCACAGGGTTTGTACGAGGCTGTAACTGAGATCCTTTAATTCAATGTATCTATTTTGAAAATTTACTTATAATTTAATCTCTCCATTTTCACCTTTATAAATACCTTAATAACAGATGATTATCAGGAATTTTAAAATTAAAATTAAACCAAAATATCAATTTGGCTTATAGGTACCTACTATATTATCAAGATAGCATTTATATATTAATTTCTATGATGCCTCCCACCTCTAATTCTAACTCGTAAATTCTTAATTTTCTCAGAGTGTTATAAAATTAACCATATACAAAAAAAACTCTTTAGAATTTATACTGATATGTTGGTTTGGGTTAGAATTCTATCAGATTTAAGATGAAGATCCATAAAATTAAAAATGATGTATTATAGCTCTAAAATCATTACTGTCACTGCTAAAAGAAGCAGGTACTAAAATTTTAAAATGCTAAATACACAGTTGAAAATTTTGATCTTCAAATTTTATATAATTATATTAATAGAAATCCCAGCTGAAAAATCACAAAGGCGATTTCAGATATTTTGATACAGCCTGTAATTTTTGTTATGTGAATAGAGTATGACTTGGCTACTTCTGATACAGCCAAATCTTGATTAGTCTTAGTCTACAGAAATACGGACAGATGAAAATGGACCTCTTCACATCTTTAGCATCTTTCCCACAGTGTTCACCACAGTGAACTTACTCTAATTTGCACTTTGATTTCTTTTCCTTCTTAATCAATGGCATGGTTTAATATTAATTATAACAAATAATACAACAGAGGAAGGGAACTGTAATAGATAACCAGTCTGAGCAATCAAGAGTTGGCTGTACAGTATCATATTTACCTTAAGAATCAAACTAGAAGAACTAAACAGCCTCATCCTACTTCATTGTCGTAAATAAACACCAAGCAGGAGTTCCTATGCCTTAACAGTCCTAGTCAAGTCTCCGAGTACCTGAAAGAACCCTGGTGGCACAGGACCTACTGGCATGCCATCTCCTGGGGGCATGTTTCCTAGCACGGGGCTGGGAGCTGCTGCAGCACTCTGCAAAGAATAAAGGAGAGACAGAGCTACATCATTACAGAGAAGGCACAGGACCACAGGCTGCTCAGCTGAGCACAGACCACAGGGCTGCTTTCGCACTCCTGGGGGCAAAAGCTGCTCATTTCCCATTCGACAAGTGAACTGAGGTTAACAGTGTGATAAACAATGTCAGTGGCTTTAACGGACCTCTAGAAATTCCGTGAAGGCAAAGATCTTTCATAAGATGACACATTTGAATATATATTAAAGGCTGACGGTAATGTGACAGATGATAAAAGTTTAAATAAATGACTAATTTTAAGGTACAGACATTTGAAATGACAAACATTAGAAATGAATGTACAAATAGGTAAAAGTCTGTGTACGATGATCACAGGGATTAGGAGAAAGACTAGGTTATACTTAAATATGTCATAAACAAGTATAATTAATTTCCCGCCTATAGGTAGCCATTCACTTTCAATATGTCATAATCATTACTAAAATATACAGTATAAGGTGGTGAAGATGAAAATGCAAATAGGAGACTGAAGAAGAAAAATAAACTAGATTTGAAGACACTGGTCTCACACAAGTTATAAAAAATATAGACTGAAAAATTCAGTTTACTTCATTTATAAACTTTTCATGAAATCCTAGCATTTAATTAAACAGGAATATGAAAAAATAAAACCTTTGGCTTAGATTCTTCGTAGTCAGGTCAAGATTAAAGATTTTTTTATATATATCAGATACACATAAAATTGCTCTGCAACTATGGATTTTATTTTCCAACTTGATTAAACACAAGTTAAAGTCCTAAAATTACTCAAGAAGGGACCCGATGGGGATATAAACTAGTACCACCTTTATGGAAAAACACATGCAAGGTCCTCAAAACGATCGGAACAGAGCTATTACACCAGCTGACATTCTTACTACTGTGTATACATCCAGAAGAAAAGAAATTATTGTGTTGAAGAGACATCTGCAATCCTGTTCTATCTAAAGTGCTGTTTATGACAACCAAAATAAAGAATCAACCTAAATGTTCACTGATAAATGGATGATTAAGGAAAACATGACCCATATACACAATGGAATTTTATTTAGCCATAAAAAACGTTGACAGCATGAATGAACCTCGACGACGACATTATGTTAAGTTCAAACAAGGCAGGGCAGAGACAAACAGCACATGATCTGCTGCAAATGTGGAATTTCAAGAGCTGACCTCAGAAGCTGAGAATAGCAGGGGTTAGTGGAGGACCGAGGATAAGGAGACAGGCTGTGAGTAAGTCCAGTGTCACAGTCAGATGTGGGGAGCAAGTTCTGGTGTTACACTGGATGGAGTGTGATGTGGCTAGCAACAACATATCATATGTTTCAAAACAGTAGGAAGAGAAGATTCTGAATGATTTTACTACAAAGGCACCACAGAGGCTGAGGACAAACTGATTTGATTCTTAACAGCTTTGTTGTGAAAAATATTCCAAGCATGTTCCACAGTTATGTACATGCTGTCTTGCCTTCCTATGTACACAAGTGCATCTATCCAAGCATTTGTAGCCCACAGAAGATATGGTATTTTAGCATGTTCTACTGCATAGTTCCTGAATTTTTTTAAACAACAACAACAACAACAAAAAACAAGTTTATTCCACAAAACTTGAAGTTGTTCAGAGCAATGTTTTCACAGTTCCCAAAGACATGTAGACTAAACTGTGATTGTGTGAAATACTGCTTATGAACCCAAATGTAATTTCAGCCAAAGAATATGAATACAAAAGAGAAAACTACTTCTCAAACACTAAGGTATAGGAACATACTCGTAGGAAAGGATGCAATGTCATTTAGTGACTATTACCTGACTGTTGCCCTGACCAGCTACTGTTTCATTTTGCACAGTGTCACACATGCTCTTTCTAAAATGAAAATAAACTAACTGCCTTTCCATTTAACTAAGCTTGCATAAAAATTCAATACACTGTTGGGGGTGCAAATTTACAATCAACAACCCTGTGAGCCTTAAATGCATAGTTACAGCCAGGTCTAGGAAGTGGGATTTCATCTACGTCCTTGAGACTGTAACTCAAATCTATTTTTTCATCTATTCTTAGTTGCCCCAAAACTACACTGGTAAGTTTTTTCCTGTATTAGAAAAATAAAACCGGTTCATCATTTGCACCAATGGACTGGTAAAAAATGTATATTGTTTTTCCCCCTGACTACATTGTCTATAGGTATTTGTTACTTTTTCCGTGAAAGATCTTCATAACATGTATATCCTGTGATATGTTTGCTTCATGAGTGTTTATGCTCTTATTTTATAAGTTCAGGACATAATCACTGTTTTCGTTTTCTCACCCTCATCAAGGGTTTTGAGGGTTAACACAGTAGCCGACATAACAAAAATAAAACCCTTGCTTTACGGCTTATTCCTAGCAAGGGGAGAGAGACAGTCAACAGAACAAACAAAGGAGACGAGAATACTACTGTGACCTGCTCCACGACAACACAAGAACAGGGTAGAGAATACTACTGTGACCTGCTCCACGACAACACAAG